GTCATCATCATCATCATCATCAGCAGCAGCAGCACCACTGTGCGCTTGTCGCACCAATTCACTTTATTATTACCTGAAGAGAATTTAAACAACCAGTCAGTTCGAAAACAAAATGCACTTTGAAGTGACCGAATCGACAATACGGCGACATAACGGCGCAAAAAAAAAGTGTGGTCAGTAGCGAAAGCGAGCGAGCAAACGCTGCTGGATCTGCCGAAGCGAGCGATAAATGAAGGATGCTTGGAGTGTCTCTTTGTTGCCGCACAAGTAACCGTAACCAGACGTACTGGCGTGTTTGTGCGTCGTTGTAACTAAGCGAATAGTAGCAAAATTCGATGGACATGAAGCATGCTGCCCACTTTGCCGACATCGGCCCACATTGCGTGCTAAGGAGCAGTGTATTATGTGCGTAAATCCTAAAAATTAAGGATACCCACCTAAGCAGCAAGATGACCGGCACAAATGCAGATACGTTGCACAGAGAGCGAGTATCCCCGAGCGCAACTACATCCCGATAATATAAGAAAAAGCCAGACCGGTCAAGCAGACTGCAGCTTCCAGGTCAACCCTAGATGGCAGGGTGTAAAGGTGTAGAAGATTGATGGTGAGAGCGAGATAAGACGTTTCGGTCCATTAAGTCAGTTCTGGAGATTTTACTTGCGCATAGTGTCATTCTCTGTGACCAATGCTCAAAACCGTAGAAATCACCCTCCGTGCACAGTGTGGCTCGTTGTTGAGTAAATTCACTCAATAATGAAAATGCCCAAAATCCCACGCTCGCCTCCTGTCCTAAATGCTCGGAATAAGCCTCCTACTCATCAGCCGCTTATCGTTCATTCCGCCACCACCACTCACAGCGCATGAAAATCTTCAAACGCTACAGAAACAGTAATACACATAAAAGGTTCCACAGCTTTCCTGAACTCTTCTAACTTGGTATTTTTTACGCATTTTGTGCTGTGTAACAGCAGCACGAAACACATAGTGTTGTCTCTGTTCGCATGTGTGTGTGTGTGTGTGTGTCCCAGATCTTGTCCCGCACACTTTCAACTCGGAAATTACGAAAGCTAGGCAGCTGGAATTTTGGCGAAGTATTTCCTGCTAACGTTTTATCCCGCAAATTTAAATTCCTTCCTCCCGTACCCGAAAGTTACACGTACGCCCCTGCGGAAGTTTTGGCGGGTAAAATCATTATTTCGGAAACTAGGAAACTGAAATTTTGTGGGTATGTTCTCCGCTCAAGTACGACCAACAGAGCTTAAAATCTTTAAGCAAACGTCCGCTAGACAGAACTGCGCAAAAGGCATGATCGCACCGGCTGTCCTGGTGCGCGTCGCTATTTATTTTTCTTCGCCCACTTCGCCGAAAACGACCCACTAGCGCGTGCCGAACTATAGAACAGGCCTTTACCCTGGGGAAGTGACTCGCAATGTTCCTTTGATATATACCTCACTGCCATAATACAGCTACAAAAGATATTGTTGCGCTAGAGTGCGCCTCGCACCCAATAACAAATGTTTATTCATTATTTCGATGATAACAGCTTGTAACTTAAAATCAGTTCACAGCCAAGCATCAATGAAAGCACCTCACAACGGAACGCAAAAAAAAAACACAAAATCCAGCGAAAATAACACACCGGATGTGCACCACATGTATGTGTGTGTGTGTATGTGCACGCACGTATTTATCACCAGACATCAACGAAATGCTTATATACTAGAACCGGAGCTGGCCTTGTAAACGAGTACCATGTGCCTATACCAAAACAATCGTTACAAAAGCACACTGCACAAAATGTATGTGTGCAGTTTTGGCTGCTCACGGTG